TCAAATGGGAGAGAGGAGAATGATTTAAACTGCTTTGGTCCCCATTGCAGACAAAGACTACTTTTCCTCCTGGGAAACCATTGTTGCCAATCTCCAGGTGAGGGCTGGAGATCACTCAGAATTACAACTGCTCTCCAGATGGCAGAGATCAGTTCCCTTGGAGAAAATGGTGGACTCTGTGTCCTTATACCCTGCCCCCCATGACAACCAATGTGACGTGGCAGTCAGGGCTTCAGAGCACAGTAGAGGCTGCAAGTGGCGGGGGGGATGGAAAGCTGAAGAATGAGGGGGAAATAAAGGTAGGTTGATAATTGGCTGGGAAGGAGATAAGGTTGCCAACTCCAGGTGGGAAATTCCTGGAGATTTGAGGGATGGAACCTGGAGAGGGTGAGGTTTGAGGAGGGGTGGGACCTCAGAGAGGTACAATGCCATAGACTCCACCCTCCCAACCAGCCATTTCCTCCTGGGGAACCATTGTTGCCAATCTCCAGGTGAGGGGTGGAGATCACTCACAATTACAACTGATCTCCAGGAGGCAGAAGTCAGCTGCAGTCAGAGGGGCAGATAACAGTAGGTTGATGGTTAGCTGGGAAGGAGATAGGGTTGCCAACTCCAGGTTGGGAAATTCCTGGGGATTTGAGGGGTGGAGCCTGGAGAGGGTGGGGTTTGAGGAGGAATTGGACCTCAGACAGGTACAGTGCCATAGACTCCACCCTCCAAACCAACCATTTCCTCCTGGATAACAATTGTTGCCAAAGTCCATGTGAGGGGTGGAGATCATTCAAAATTATGACTCCTTTTCAGGTAGCAGAGATCAGTTCCTCTGGGGAAAATGGTGGACTCTGTGTCATTATACCTTGCTGAGGTCGCCACAGCAAATTGACGTTGAGTGTCCAAGGCCTTGGCACTCTCCCAGATCCTCTTTCTAGTGCGCGCTGTATTTATTTCCATAATGGGTCTTATTCCTAGTCTATTATATTTGGGATCATATCTTGTTTTAATCTGATGTGTTTTACTGGTTTTTTATCTTTTCGTTGATGTTTTACCATTGGTATTTTATTGGGGGTTTTGTTTCATACTGTAAGGCCTCTGTATTCACATGTAAGCTAGTGTCATAACAGTCTATTCCTTGCCTCAGATTGTAGTTGAAGTTTGTTTGAGCATCAGCGAGCTCTTTCAAGAATAGGATGGGGACAGATGCCTTTTCTGGGCATACTAAACCCGTGTGCTATCTTCTGGAGGAGCAGTTGTGGTAGTGAATAAGTTACAGGATAGACTTTTGTGTTAGATCAGGAAGGATGGCTCCAGAGCAAACTAATTTATGCAGCAGCCAAATCGCCTGCTCACAACTTTAATGCCAGTAGCTCACAAAGTAGAATTTTTGCTCACAAGACTCCACAGCTTAGAGGGAACATTGCTCTCGGGTCTTGCCCCTTTCTCTCTCCCCCGCTTGAGGGGAAAAAATGGCATTTCCCAGAATGCTGCTTTATGTTTGTGGAAGGGACTTGCTAGCTTGCTGTAGGATTCCACTGGGTGGAGACAGAGCAGGCTCTGTGGAGAAGCGGCTGCTGTTGCTGAAGGGAAGGTTGGGGAGGGCAAAGGAGCGCAGTATGAGTGGGAAAGAGCCGCTGCTGCGAACCCTGAAAGGTGAGTGGATGGAAGTGTGGGGCTGAACGGCAGATCCGAGGGAGGTGGGAGAAATGCAAGGCGTTGGGTGAAAGGAGGTGCGAGATCCATTCTGGTTATAACAGGTGGCTTCTTAGAAACATAGGACTAGAAGGCAGGTGGGGCTATCCTAATTTTGTGCCTGGT